TGCCCTACACGATCCTGAAATACTAGATAAAGCTTTAGAGAGATAATTGAAGTCTTGTATAGATAAAGTTATACTTAGACAAAGATTTGGAAGTAACTTATCTACATATTATATATATATTTATACATGCACACACACACACACACACACACACACACACACACACACACTCACGGGAAATTAGCTCTGAATTTTCTAACAACTGAGAGATTCACAACTTTCATTATCTAACCGAAAGAAAGGAGGATTTCTTTGGAAACTGTTTAGCATTTATTCCTATATGTATTTTTTAGTTACAGAAGCAGCAGCAAGGTTACTACTTTACTTAATCTTTAGAAATGGAGAAATTCTCTCCTAATCCTGCTACTTCAATGAATCAAAATCATCTTTATTCAAATGCCAATTGCTGCTTTACATTTTTTGGGTTTATTCTTTTTCTGTTGTAGTTTTTTTTTTTTTTTTTCTTTTTAACTCAAGAACCTGTGTTCTCTACTCTCCTGTTGCTTCTTGGATGATATTTTTAATGCTTGCCCAGTATCAGTTATCTGTGCTCAGGTGTCTTTAACTATCAGATGTTTAAGGTAGTTCCACCCAGAATAAGCAAGCAGATTGTAAACCTTTCTTTCCTAGGTGACCTCCACTACCCACATTCCCCAGAAGCCACATCGTGGTTTTCCTAAGCCCCGAGTGTTTAACTCCTACAGTAGTCTTGCTGTTTCTACTCAAGCACTACAAGTTGAGATACATGTATTAGGGCATCTCACAGAACAATGATCTTCCACAGTTCTAAGTGCCTCTCAATAGGTCTGTTGCCAGGCAAAATTCGTACCGCAGAAACAAGGGGTCATTTGATTGAGGCTGGATTTGTTACTGGTATTGATTTGGGACCTTTTACTATTTCAGCATCTGCAGTGTTTCTAAGGAGATGAGAGGGCACTTTTTATTGACTTGGCAATCCTAGGGCTGAGGGCTCGGAACCAAATGCGATGCTTCCATAGGTGTTGTAAGGGTTCAGGCATTATGCTGGCCTGCCCCTGTCACCGGGCATTATGCACTCAGGCAGTACCCTGGTCGGCCCAGGGTTCCATGGTTAGTAGTAGTCGGCGCAGGTGCAAAGGACTCCTTTAAAAGAAAGACCCCGCCCACTTATGCTCTCCTTTTCTCTCTCTTTCCCGTCATTCCTTTGGAACAGACAGGACTTTTCCTGTCCTCCCTCCCTCCCTCTCTCCCTCCCTCTGTCTCTCTGTCTCTTTACCTCTTTTCTCTTTCTTTCCTCCTCCTCTCCCCTCCCTTTTCTAACAAAACTTCTCACTTAAGCTCTATTTGCCCGGCATGTTTATCCCCTGCCTTGGTCACCCTTTCCTGCCATGGAATCAGCCAAGGTCCCCTCCAGCTTTATCATAACAGATACCTGCCCTCCTCTAACTAGAGTGGGGAAGTTGTAAAAGAGTTTTATTCCCGTCCTTGGAGATATCCTTAGGGTGGTTGCTGAGCCTTCCAACTCCAATCAGGAAGCCTAGCTCAACGTTCCAAGGTTTATGGCTTTAAGAATGCAAATGGGGCTGAGAGTTTCCTCAGTTCCTGGATCTCAGACAGTTCCATCTCCTAGCGCTGCCTTCCCCAAGTGTTTCCAGAGAAGACAGCCTGAGGGAGAGGAAGTGGTGCTAATTAAATCCTCCCTCTGTTTTCCAGGCACAGGAGCCTCTAGCAGATGTCTGTTGTTAGGCGTGTGTTCACAGAGTGCACAAATACAGAAGCAGGCTTCCCTTCCCAGTGACACAAACCTTCCTTCATGGGAACTTTGGAAATGCGTTTCCTTCCAACACCCACTGTAAAGGAGGTGGCCAGCCTGCATAAATAGACTACAGAGCTGCTAGCAAGGCCAAAGTGCCTCTCTCTGTCTCTTGTCTCTTTGCCCCCCCTCCCTCTCCCCCCAGCCATACCTTTTATTCTCACAAGAAAAGCCAATTTCAGCCTTTGGGAGCCTGCCCTTAAAACATTACCTGGATATTCAAGGAAGGCCTTCCTGTTAGCAGGAACCTTGGCCTTATGTTGGGCAAGTTGGACTCAAAAGCATGTCAGCACAAGAACTGCTAAGTAAGTATGCCTTAGATGGAGCTTCCCTGTTCGTTATCCTCAGAAGGGTGTGTGTGGAGGAGTCAGGACTGCCAGGGTTGTGAGGGTCAACTGAGATAAAATGAACATGAGCCGCAGACGGCAACCCACGGGTTTCACCAACTGTGGTTTCTGCTGAATTCAGTCCCCTCAGAGTGACATCCATGGTTGCCAGAGACAGTTCTGTTTACTCCTACCATCCTGACATAATTGCTAATAGCATCATCTTATGCCAGAGTGCCTAGAGTCAGGCAATGCACTCGAGTCACTTTAAGTGGAGAGATGTGAACAGAGTCTATTTACCTCCAATAGGGCTCTAACAGCTGACCAAAGAGATGAGTACTGTCTAAGTTTACCTTAGTGGAGTTTATTGGAATTATTTACAGTAGCATAGGCAAGGTTTCATTTAACAGGAGTCTGCTTGGCTCACAAGCAATGGCATCATAAAAGCCCAACCTAGCATGACAGCTACATACATCCCTGGAGCTCGTTGGACAACTTGCCAGTTGCTTGGCTGGCTGGAAAGTCCCCTCCCCCAGCAGTTGTTACTGCTTATAAACCCCTTGGCTAGGAGCCTTGTGACTTTTTAACTTTCTGAGCTTCCCCAGCCTTGGAAGCAGTGTGAGCTTCTCTGCTCCCTCCCACAGACAATGTTTCAATTAGGAGGAAAGGGCTCTACAACGCTGTGTGATCATGCTATTTTTACCTCTCTTGAATGTTCTAGTTTGTCTCAATTTTAAGGGTGAAAATATGCTGGCAAACAAGACTCCCCCTACTTTCTGGCATTTCACAAAAACCGAGGAAATGGAATCAGAGCCACCTTTTATTTGATTAAGAACATAGAGGCATCTCTGAGCCTAAGACGTCATATGTAATGGTGAACTAGACATGAAGCCTGCTTCCAAGACACGTTAGTAGCTGGCCTCCTGTAAGGACAATTGGACTACTGGACAAAGTACCTAGGTGTAGGCACTGTCCTTATGTGGCTTTCTCTCTCTACTAGTAAACGGAGCACTAGATCAGGCAAACTTTAAATTGGGTCCGCACAATCTTTCATTTTTGTCCTTTAAAAAAAAAAAAAACTTTACAAATAAAAATTATTTTATCATTTTTATTGAAATGCTAAATGATTATTTTGTTAGCACTCAGAGATACAGAGACTGAAAATGAAAGAGGTATTGACCACATCATCATGAAGAGAGAACTACTTCTAACATTTTTTCTTTCAGTTTCAAATATTGGCTATCCACATATGTATATGCATTTGCAAATACATGTCTAATAGTTTCTTCCCATGTCTACGATTGATTTAAAGACAATCGAATATTATGATTCACATATGATAACTTTCTTTTTCCATAACATGTATTTTGGATATCTTTCTATGATCAAGTATACTTCATAGTTTAACAGCTGCTTTGTGTTTGACTCTAAGGCATATGTTTCTTTCATTTGGCCAATTTTCTACTAGTAAATGCTAATTTTATTGTAATTATTTGGTATTAAATGTGAGCTTGTGTGAATGCTTAATGTTGTTATTTATTATGTATAATATTTCTCTACTAGCCATAATGGTGTTACAGCTCTGAAGAGAAAGGTTTCCCAAATGGTAGTGTTATAGCTCTGAAGGGAAAGGTATCCTGGCAGCCAGGAACCATGGAATATCACAAAATCACACTGCACAATAAACCTCAAACAAGAGATTTATTGGGAAAGACATAACAGGGAGGCTGCCCTGCTATGGTGAGGAGTAAGCAGGGAACTGAGCAGAAGGCAGGCTTATATAGGGTTTCTTGGGGGCAAAGCTTTCCAGGGTGGAAATTGCCAGGATGGGGACTGGTGGGAGTTCAAGTTCTGAGCTTGGGGCAAGCCCAGGGATTGGTAGGATTTTCAGCTCAGTGATTGATGGGTTTTGGTAGGTTTTTAAATCGGAAACTCAGACCTTTTATACTACAATAATGGTGTGATGAGAGAACTTACATACATGTATTTTGTATGTGGGTGTGTCTTTGGACATTTTTCTAAACTGTTTTCCTTAAAATAAAATTTTAGAATTGGAACATTTGATTTGAAAATATGCCAGTTCCAGGTGTCCTGTCTTAGCCAGTGTTCTGTTGCTGTGAAGAGATACCAAGACCGCAGCAACTCTTATAAAAGGAACCATTTAATTGGGGCTGGCTTACAGTTTCAGAGGCTTAGTTCATTCTCATCATGTTGGGCGACATGAGAGAGAGAGAGAGAGAGAGAGAGAGAGAGAGAGAGAGAGAGAGAGAGACTGAGCCATAGCCTGGCTTGGGCTTTTTGAAACTTCAAAGCCCACCCTCTAGTGACACACTTCCTCCAGCAAAGCCATGCCTATTCCAACAAGGCCACACCTCCTAATTCTTTTCAGGTGGCATGACTCCCTGATGACTAAGCATTCAAATACATGAGCCTATAGGGGCCATTCTTACTCAAAGCACCACATGTCCTCGTACCAATCCCTGGAGCTGATCATTGCTTTTCATTCTTAAATATAAACAAGGCCAGGCAGAGTTTTAGACAAAAATGCCAAGAAATCACAAAGAGGAATTACCTGGCAGTAATTTCACGCAGCATTTCCCCGGTTCAGTTTATGCTCTGGTGTTAATCTTGAAGGAGTGGAGTGACTCACAGGCTCCTTTTCTGTGTCCTGAGAGTCCCTACTTCTGTCCTCTCATGAAGGTGCTGTATTGGATGGCATTTAGATGTCTGTGTTCCTGCACTATCCACTGGTGCCTCTGTTTGATCAAAGTATGGCTGTTTCCCCTTAGGGAAGATCTTTTGCTTTTATTATAACCTCTTTTTCCGTATATGTTTTGTCCTATAATGAAAAGATTGTTTCTTTTTGTTTGTTTTAGGCTAAAAATGTCAACAATTGGGAGCTTTGAAGGATTCCAGCCAGTGTCTCTGAAGCAAGAGGAAGATGACCAACCCTCTGAGACTGATCACTTGTCCAAGAACGATGGGGACTTGGGCAAGAAACCAGGACCAAGGCAGATTTCAAGACAGCCGAGTGTGACTAAATCGACACTTTACCCCAATCCTTATCACCAGCCCTATGCTTCACGGAAGTACTTTGCTACCCGGGTAAAATCACTATTTTAAATACTGTCCAATTTTTTCTGTTGAAATCTTTCTCTCTCTCTTTTTTTTCTATACTGCATTTTCCCAATAGTTACACATTTTACAAACTTTTTACAATAGTGGCTATAATGCTCACGTACTTGTCCTTGTCCCCATTGTACTGATGAAGGTTGTAACTTCAGACAAGCCAAGTTTCTGGTTTTTGTCTCTCCGACAGCCTCAAGGAGACACAGTTCCTGTAGCCTGTATACGTTTGTGTGTATGGTCCTCCACCAATGCAAAATCTGGCCTCAGAGAATGAATGTTTAATGGCTAGAGAATCTCTAACATGGTAGCTGGATGGTAAAGTGGCGAACTCATTGTTTGTTTAAAAAAGCCATAGACTGTGAAGTGGAAAGTGTTGCTGAAACTAAGCTGAATCTCAGGATGGATGCTAGGATGCTGTTATCGTATCATGAGAGCAAGGGCTTGAAACTCGCAGTTTGCAGCCACAGCATAGGGCTCTGAGTTCTTATCTGAGCAGTGGACAAGAAAAGCAAAAGGATGAGGACAAGGCTTATGCACTTGGTGTAAAAGGCTGCTGTATTAAGTTTTTAGCATTTAGATCAAGTGAAAAGTACCTCCTGGATTTCTTATGTCTTTGTTGTTTTGATTTTCTTTTTGGTACTCACTGATCTTTTGTAATCCTCCAAAGTTCTAATTATTACAGTAGCCATAATCTATGGGAGAAAAATTAGGGAAATGCGAACTATGACAACAAAAGCAGTTCTCATGAATACATGGGACACCTTTTGGTTGGAAAATAACCCTCCCCTCTTCCTTTTTCCCTTCCTTCCTTCCTTCCTTCCTTCCTTCCTTCCTTCCTTCCTTCCTTCTTTCCTTCCTTCCTTCCTTCCTTTATTTTTCTTTTTTATGCGTGAGAGTGTTGTTATGCCAGGGCAGAGGATGACTTTTGGAAGTTGATTCTGGCCTTCCACTTTGAGACGGGTTCTTTTCTTGTTGGGTTTGCCTCTTCTCTGGTGCATACTCCAGGCCAGCTAGCTTGAAGGCTTCTGGCCAATTCTCTTGTCTCCATCTCCCACCTCACAGTAGAAGCGCTGGCGTTACATACGAGACCCTCAGTACTGAGATTTCTGTGTGATTTCTGGAGACCACTCTCAGGTTCTCTAATTTGTGTAGCAAATACTTTTATCTGATTAGCCATCTCTCTGGTTCTTCAAAATATATTTTTCAGCTCAATATCATAAGTAAGTGGAGGTCAACAATTTGGGACTGTTTACAAGGCTTAATGAATCCTGTTTTGGTGGCTTTAAAGATATATACCTTTGTTTAAGATAAAGTTCTAACTAAAGCAACTGAATGTGTGAGTGTGTATGCATATGTGTGTATTTAAACATTATGTAGACTCCGATGTGCAAGGCACTTTGGTAGGTGCTATATTATCTGTGTTTGTGTGAGTGTTTTTGCATATGTCAAGCATATGGTCTGTTTTCCAAAATATGTGAACTTTATTGAATATGCAAAGCTAAGTGGAGATGGAACTGCAAAGGGAAATGTAAGCATCCTTTGGAGTTTTAGGATCTTGATATGGATGGTGACAGGGATTGGTGAGAAAATACAGAGCAGTGATACAAAATAGGGGCCCAGTGACAGGAGCTGGTGCAGCTATGAAAGCAGGCTGAAAAGTTTATGCAAAGCTCTTTTTGTTGCTTTTGATGGTAGTTCTGAAGTTGGCAAGGGTAGGGCAGCTGGCTTTCTAGAGTAGGAAAAGGGAATGTCTTCATGGCACAACTGAAATTCTTCTTGGCAAAGTAGAGCTTATGAGGAAAAATTAACCTCTACCACCAACTATAATCTTAATGGCAAGTCACATTTAGAAGCTGTGCCTGTGCCAGTGCACAAGGATGGGAGAATCTTAGGGAGGAAGTCAACGGTAATGGAAGGAAATGTTGGTATTCATGCTGCCACTTGCCAGCAAATGAGCCAGGGCAGTAATTTCCTTGACTGTGCTGGAGTGCATAGTGACCTGAATTGATCTTCAGCAAATAAAGCAGCTGGTTTCATGTCTGCCATTTGAAATTAATATGGATGTCTCCGTGGCTAACTCCCATTTAGAAACAAACAGGGAAAGCAGAGCTAAACCATGTAGTTCCTATTCAGATGACCTGACACAGTCCTGATGTCTCATAAGTTATTCACAGCTTCTTTTAAAAATTGTGGCTTCACATAACACTGTGAGGCCGGCAGGAGAAGCCATCTTTGTCTTAAGAACAAACTCATAGGAGGCTAGAAAGATGACTTGGTGGTTAAAAATCACATTTCGCTCTTGCAGAAGATCAGGTTTTGTTCCCAGCACCCAAATGGTGGCTCACAACTGTCTATAACCCCTGGTATAGGAGTCAGACTCCTTCTTCTGATTTCCACAGACAGCAGGCCCTCATATGCTGCATTCACACACAGGCAGTCAAAACGCTCATATACATATGGTAGAATAAATCAGTCTTTTTATTTAAGAATGAACAAGTTTCAGGTCAATGAAATCATCTACTTTCAAGAGATTCAATAATTTGGTGAGCCTACTGCTATTTCTAGATGAAAGTTACAATGTATATAAATCTTTATATGATGGTTCCCTCTTCATCAGACATAGAGAAAGCAGACCCAGGGTCTCAAGAATATCTGAGGACAACTGTCTTGTGTAAGAGAAAGGCTAATGTGAGCCTGAGGATACTTTGTGGGCTGTGAGGGTGAGATTTCAAGGGCACCTGGTTCCCCTTCAGACCAGCAGGCATAGTACAGAAGGCTATGTAAGAACAACAAATATGCACTAACAAGTGGGAAAGCAACAAAAACACAGTTGTGATGAAATAACCCATTGAAATTTAATGCTGGTCAGCTTTTATGTTTCTTAATTTATTCTTTTATAATTTCAAGATGATTACATTTAATTTACATTATATCAACCCTCTGATTTCTCCTTCAAAATCCTCCAAGACTCCTATACTTTCCCCACATAATTTCGTGTTCTCTTCCTCTTTTCCTCCTTCACCCCCTCTATTTTCTTCTATTTTTATAGCCCACTGAGTCCAGTTAATGTTGCCTGTATTCACATGGTGTAGAGTACCATCCAGTGGAGCATGAGCAACCTAGCATGGACTGTACTGCTGAAGAAACCCAACTCTTCCTCTTCTAGCAGCCCTCAACTGCTAATAGCTCCTCAGCTAGGGATGGGGCTTTGAGATCCGCTTCCCTTGCCATGCTGGAGTGTTGATTGGCTTCATCTTGTGCAGATCTTGTTCAGACAAGCAAAGTCGTCGTCGTGATTCATGAGTGCAATGGCCCTGACTTTTGCTGATGACGTTATTTTGAAACACTCATCCTAATTTTCTGATTCTTTATCTTGACACACCCTCTTCTGCAATGTTTATTGAACCTTGTATGTAAACAGGATTTGGCGTATGTTTCCCATTTACAATTTTCTGTAGTAACTGCCATCTACTGCAGTAAAATATCTGTCTGATGAGGAGTGAGAGCTGTACTACTTTCTTAGTACAAAGATTAATTTTTAGAAGATAGTTTGTACTATGTCTCTTTCACAAAGTAATATTTGTAGGGCCTTTAACCTCCCTACCCATGACTTCTTTGCTATGTTTACAGGCATGAGTTTCCTTTTGTTGAACAAGTCTTAAATTCAACTCAAAAGCTATTGGCTGTCTCCATAAAATTTATGCCACTGTTGTCCCCACTGTGTAGTCTAGTCATTATTGTAGCCCACAGGGATCACAGCCAAGTAAGACTACTGATGGATTGTCTCCCATGTCAATCTACAAAGCACTTTCTAGTTCTGTGAAAGCTACCCAACAAGGAAGAAGTTTCAAGGTCAGTATCAGCTTGGTTTCTCCAAGTCATATGACCAAAGTGACGGCCAAAGGTCTTACCATCAGTTTCTTGTAGGTGACCAAGAGTCTGTTGTTTTGTGTGTTTCTGGGAACCCCCTAACTAAAATTTCAGTAGGAAGCATTTCACACTTAGCACAGGGATTTTTGTCTGATTACCTTTGTATTCTGGGATGAACATTCTGCCGATAAACATTTGAAAATAAATGGAAGAATGATCTGGTTTTACTAGCTTGTAAATCAAATCCAGGATGCTTTGATTGTTAGGAGAGAGAGAGAGAGAGAGAGAGAGAGAGAGAGAGAGAGAGAGAGAGAGAGAGAGCACATATGTTTGTGAGTCTCAATTTATTCACCTGAAAGTATAAATAAAGTGCAAGTTTTGTAAAGAGCCCTAAAAGAACTAAGTTTGTCAATATTCATAGAGTATATGACAGATCTGTAACATTTCAAATATTGTGATTTTCAGTACCTCCTCTCTTATTTTTGCTTGTATTCACAATTCTATAAATGGTTATAAAAATGGCAACAAGGTGCCTGTGACCTCACCATGATGTCTAGGGTGAGATATAAATGTTGACACAAGGGTCTGTAGCAGTAAAGAGAAGGCTGGTCGACTTTCTCAAGGAATAATTAAGTAAGACCACAATACTTGAAGTTTCAGATGTGTGAGAGTCATCGTGAAGTGATGACTTCTTAGATATGAAGTGAGATCTTAGATGTCATGGTCCAGCTGGTGAACAGATTAGATTCTGTGTTTCTATAAACTTTCTGCCAATGCTGATGCTCTCTTGCTGTTCAAGTTATTCATTTTCAGTAACACAATAGGAAGTGAGATTTTACTTTCCCAAGAGTCCACTACACAGCAAACTGAGGGCTAGAACCACTTTCTTGGCTACCCATTTGTAGTACTGTGATTCCCTGCCACAATCACAGGCAAATCAACTTACAATAGGCTAAGAATTTAAAGTATGTGCATTGCAAATTTGGAAGATCACTGAGTCAATGAGCTGAAGAATTTTTGCTGAAGTATTAAAAGACTTTAGCATCATCACCCAAGAAGTAATTTGTTGATAAAATGTTAGAAACTATAGATAGGTAAAATAAGTCACTGTAATTTCCACTGTTCAATAGTAACTAAAAAAAAAATTGCATGTGCTCTTATACATTTGTGGGTGGATCTTTTTTATTTTTCATATATAATTTCTGTATGCAATCAGTTATATGCTAAGTATTTTATATGGCTACAATATTTTTGTGACATCATTTTTAATTAGTTCTATAGCATCTCACATTGGGGATATATACTGCTACAATGTATTCAACTTGAACTGAACATTTAGACTGCTTTCTGTTTATACCATTGATCTGAGAATGAAAGGTATTCATTGGCTTTCTGATGATGGCATGGTCTGCAGTGTTTTGGGTGCCAGGAATTGATAGCCAAGGATATAAGGAGAAGAATGATCAATTCTAAGAATTTCAAGAGGGATTTGCAAAGAAGTGACTAGTGTGTACATGGGAATTCTTGACAAATAAGTGGTAATTTTAGCATCACAATATTAGATATTATATCACACACCTAAGTACTAGATCATAAAATAAGTTAATGACTTGCTAAATCCTTAATGTGGTTTGCTGGTCATTATTATTGTATGTGAAAAATATTCCTCTCTGATTCAATTTAAGATAACTCTTCTTAGAGACAGTAGGTCCTGGGGAATATCCAGATAACACCCTAAAGTACTTCAAGGAATTGTTACTTGTCCAGGGTCAACCAGCATGGCTAGGATCATGCCAGGACTGGGAAACACGCCTGCAATGCAGGACTCCTGACACTGTTGCTGCACTACCTGTGACCTTGGGACATGAATGAGAGGTCCCAGAAGTGAAAGTCTAAAACCTTTGTTCTCAGTCCACTTGCAACCCTTTTCTCTTGTTGTAGTGTGCGTGCTATTATTGCTTAGATATATCTAAAAAAGACCTCATGCCTTCTCCGAACAAAAGTATCCCTCAAGGCTAATAACTTGAGGTATATTATGATAATCATCTTGGTTGTGGAGACTGATGTTCAAAAGCAACTTTTTATGAAAAGAACAATGCCTAGCCCACATGGAGAAAGATATTTTTAAACTCCCTGTAGGGCTCTGTATTTGCAGATACCTTATCAGAAAGTTGAAAGCGATTCGAGATGGAGAATTATCTCTAAATTTATACTAGAGAATGTAAATTACATACAAACTAATGGGACTAAAACTATTTGATCTTTTAATATTTAATTAATGGTTCCCCATGGCCTTTTTATAGCCTGTGTTCTATTGTGAGCAGCGAGACTTTAATAAGCAGGTTCAGGACTTCCCATTGTGTAGTGAGATGTCATTGCTTCCATGACACTAATTTGGCTTTCATACTTTCTCTCTTTTTCTCTTCTCTTGCTAGAGGGTTCCCGGTGACTTGCCCTCACATTGGGAACAAATACATTTATTAGTTTTATTGTTATTGCCTTGTGAGCTTCCATTTAGCTTAGAAAATAAACATCTCACTGGGCACGAGGCTGTTCGGCTGCCATTGTCTGAAACTCCTGGAGTACTGTCGTAAAGATGATTTGTTCTTTTGTGAGAGCAGAACCACAGCAATGATGTGACAAGGTGAATTTTCATCACCTTTTTCAAGGAAATATAAATTTTCCTTTACAGATCATGGCCAATCGAGCTAATTTTCTTATTTCCATGTTCATTGCAAAATGGCCTCTGCCTAGCCATCATAGTAGGCACAGAATGAATGTCAGAGCCAGAGCCTCTAAGATCAGCCTTTCCTGAACCACCGCTTCTTCTTTTTGTACAAGGAGCTTATTACATGAAAAACATTGACAAAGTCAAGGGTATCTTATGGGTCAGCATTGGCCCTGGTATAGTCTAGGTCATGGAAATACAAGAGAATAAACATGCAAGTCTTTGGAATTCCCCAAGGAGGTTTGCTTTGTCTGGAACTACTTTGGGCTAGAATGTAAGAGACAGTAGAGTCACTATGTTTTGTAAGATGATGTATTTGATCATAGTTTCCTATTTGTCTTAGACTGCAGTCTCAGAGGTAAGTGTGCATTAATAGTATTTGATACTACTAAGGCAATTTCCCTTTTATTTAGCATAAACAATATTGAAAATTATGGTAAAGCCTTCCATTATTCAGTGTTTGTTACTGTTTAATGTACATGGTTTCATGGTATCTCCTGGTAGTTCAGTTGCAGTAATTATTATCAAAACAATCTAACAAACTAATGAAGAACACCATGATGACTTACCATGGATTCCAGAGAGCCACAAGGATAATTGACATTAAACTTTGATATCTAAGACATGAAGTGCCTATATATTTTAAAATTTTTTATTCTAAATTATTAAATGTATTAAGTATTATTAGTTAACAATAATAAAAGTGGAGGAAGCACATTTCTCTGTTGGGCTACATTTTGTTCTATATTCTAAAAAAAGGGCCCGAGCAATATTCATACTGTAAAAACAGAATGGTGCAGACAATGAGAAAACTGACAGAACTGTAGAGAGTATCAAAGCATTCCATAAATAACACACTAACTCTCAGTGTTTAGCTTTTGAAAAGGTGTACAGGAAGGCATTACTTTCATATCCTATTTCCATCTCATGTTTTCCCATCCTCCAGGAACCAACATCAATATATTTCATAGATCTTTTTATGCTTTCTTTCGCTGTGTGTCAGCAAACAGGAATATACTTACTCCACATATTTCTGCATCAGGAAGGTGGCCTACCTTACCTTCTACTGTTTTATTTTTTTCTTTCCGTTCATCAGTGCACTTGGTTACTCCTATACCTTCATCACATTACATCATCTGACCACATTCTATAACACAGCACCCTCTTGATCAGCATTTGTATATTATTCCTCATTTATCGCTCTACAAATAAGGCTGCAAAGAATTCCTTAGCCATGTCATTTTGAACATATGCAAGAATATCTGAAGTATATCTTCACAGAGGTATATCTGGATCGAATATTGAGCATTCTTCATTTGATAGATTTGGAAATTGCTTTTGGTATGGAAGATAGTAAGGTTTAAAAATTTTATTCAGTATTATATTCATCTCACATATTTTTGGTGAACTGCATGGCATAAAAATATTCAACAAAATGTTATTTTAGGGTTATTTAATCACTCTCTGATTCAACTTACTTTTTTTTCTGGAAAGTATTAGTTGTGCTACCGAGTTATATTTGTGAGGCTAAAATTATGTCAAGAAATTATGAGAAAAATACCAATGTTGAGTCACGAAAGAGAGTATTATATTTCATAAGACTGAAAAGTGGGCCCGGGATAAATCAGAATACCTCAGAGGAACTGATGTTGAGCAAAGGGAGAGTGACCAGGAGGTTATGGAGAATTTCCCTCTAGGGTAGTCTGACTGCATGGAGTGTCCCTGGAAGTGAGTGACATCACTAGAAACTTGTCTGGCAGCAATGCTAGGCATATTTGACTGAAACCCCAGAGGTTGCTGATTTGATGACACATGGCCTTCAGTAAGCATGAAGTGACAATATTAGCTTTCTGACCAGCCTTAAGCCAGCCCAGACAATGACACAGAAGGAAAAATCATTCAGTCCAGTAGCTAACTGTCCAGTTCAAGAAGAAACTCGCTAAAATGATGGAATCTTTGGCTGTTGTTGTGTGATATTTTGTTTGTGTTCTGACAAATAAAGCTTGCCTGGAGTCAGAAGGTGGAGCTAGCCACTAGTTAACCATAGACAACAGGAAGTCTATACAGAGAGGAGACAGGAAGTGATAAGGCAGGTGGAGAGAGGATCTAGGCGTTTTTTGGACAGAGGAATGAGAGAAGTAGGAAGCAACTTGGTGGGTGCCCCCTATTCTCTGATCTTCCAGGTTTTTACCCAGATATCTGACTCCTGGATTTTACTTTTAAGATGAATTTGCTTTATGCTTCAGGCTGTAAAGCTATGATAACATTTTCTTGAAAATGTATAGAGCTTTATGGTCATCAGTGTGGCTCAGAAGGTTTGGTTTAGTTTAGTCTATTAGCCAGAAAGCCAAGTAGTTAGCTCACATTGCAGAACTACTTATTGACAAATCTTGTCACTCACCTCATGCCAGGCATTATAGCATCGTTTTGTGGATGGCTTGGGATGTACAGAAGCAACCAAGGAACCGGTGTGTAGATAAAGAAATTGGCTACTTCAAACTGCACCATCCACACATACCTCATCTGAAACACCCATACCAACAGTAACATCACCTGGACATGTGTTAGAAATGCAGGTCCCAGCCCAAGCTAGCTGAATAAGAAACTGGGAATGGTCCTAGAAGTGTTTCAACATTGCTCTGATATACACTTGTGTTTAAGAGTCATTGAACTAGGGAGGGCCTGAATTTACTACAACAGGTGCCAATGCCCTTCTGTGTAGAACTAGGCCCAGCTGTGGGAACACTTGTTTTGTGAAAGTTAGACACTAAAGAGAGAGAGAGAGAGAGAGAGAGAGAGAGAGAGAGAGAGAGAGAGAGAGAGAGAGTTGAGCTGCAGAGTTAGCCACACTGATGGAAGTTAGATTTTGAGTTTTACCAACTTGTGCTCTTGGAATCTGGGAAGGTTTTTCAAAAAATGGTATATATAGGATTTGAGAAGATAAGACCTAGAATACTTTTGGCTCACATCATAGAGGTAGCATTAAAACACAGAGTTCGAGACCAAGTTCTCTGCCAATCAGTGCAATAGGATATGAAAATGCAAGAACCAGAGGAGGAGGAGGAGGAGGAGGAGGAGGAGGAGGAGGAGGAGGAAGTGGTGGTGGTACTGGTCCTTCTAACTAATCAAAAGCAGAGAGTGTGTTCAGACTTCTCTAAGTGAAATGATTTTTCCTTTCTCTCAGCCAGGGGCCATGGAGACTGCAGTGGAAGACCTGAGTGGCCATATTACACAGACTTCTGGAGAGACAGTTCAAGGCTACTGGCTCCTGACAGAGTGAGTATATGGCCTTGTGAAAGGAAGTGGAAATAAGTTTCTTGCTATCACTGGAACAGAGGGGAGATGAGTATATTAGAGGAACTCTACTGGGATTTGTATATGGTGCTTTATTGATCTTTATCTCCTGTGGAGCATTCCCTTAGTTGGTTGAATGGACACACTTGACTCCAACAGTGATCTTTCTGGGCTGGCACTCCCACCCAGCCATCACTGCCTTCATGGGCTCAGGTTTGTGGGCTCAGGGCTGTGTCTGTTTTCAAGGATTATTGGAATAGCTTTCTAGGTGCCCTGCTTTGATCTCTCTCTCCATTACAAGAGTGTTCTCTGTAATGCTACTGGGCAGCTGGTCATTTCATGTTAGGTGCAGTGGAAAGAAATAGTAAGAAAAGGGACAGATGAGGTCTAATATATAGTCTGAGTTCTATGTACGCTGTGGACAGTGATGCTAGAGAAATCATGCACCATAGGGAAGGCAGGACACTGGGGAATTTTGGGATGAGAGCCATGCAAACACATATATCTTTATTGCTCACTAATACCATCCTTTCCCTTTAAGACTTCCCTTAAAGGGAGAGCTTTCTTTGTGAGTGCTACATGGAGATAATCACCTTTCTACCCCTCCTAGAAATTGTAGTGTCTGCAACCTTTCACATACTCAATGATATGTATAAAAAGGTAAAAGAGGGTTTCTGCCTGAAACCCATAATGCTACAGGGAAAGATCTTTAAAACACTCACCTCGATTCTTGATGGGTTCAGTGAATATTGTGTTCTGGCTGTGGAACCAGAGTCCTGTAACCCAGTGGTCCTCACAGGTGAAGGAAGAAGTATGTAGTATTTGCCCCTTGAGCAGGGTAGCCTCTCTGGCTGAGATTCCAGAAGGAAACTATTGAAGGCTTAACCACCTAGGCTAGAAAAAAATGGGGTCCCCAACAGGCATGAAGGAGAATCAGATCCCCTGAAAGTCTACCTAGCTGGTTGCCATTTTATACTATTCTTCAAAACACCTCCCCAGAAGTGAATGAAAAAGAAACTTTTCAAAACTAACTTTTTGTCCTTTTTTTTCCTCTTTGTGTCTTTATGACACTAAATTCATATCAGAAGTGATTTTGAGAGCACAAAATGAGATGTTACTGTAAAATTTTTCGCTAGTGCCCCCTCCTACTCACAACCACTAAATATCAGTGAAAAGTTGTCTCCCCCTACTCCTGTTTCTCCTACTACAACTTATCCCTCCTCCTCTTGTTCATCCTCCTCTTACTTATTCCTCCTCTTGCTCCTCCTCCTAATACTTATCCCTCCTCCTCCTCTTCCTTGTCCTCCTTCTCTTGTTTTTGCTTCTTCTTGTCTCCATATTTCTTTAATTTTCTCCTTCATTCATTTATATCTTACCTATCTCTGTTCCTATCTCTATAGTTTCTGAGCTAACACTAATGAAAAGGAAAGCCTATGGTTTTAAACTTTTCACTAATTCATTTGGACAAATCTATGATCTGTTCCCCCTTTCCCATTCTTCCAATAGAGAGCCATGTTGGACCCATGAAATGAAAAGTCTGCTTTGGTTAGGAAAGGATAAGCACTTGGATTTTAGAGAACTTGAATTCAGCATCCCAACAATATATACACCAATCCTGACAAAATTGGCAAACGCCACAGATCATGACTTAATTTCCCAGTCAGTCTCTTTGTAGACTGCCTAAACTTAAGGCAGTGGTGGAAAACACATTAACAGTGCAGACAAAACTCAGGTGGGCCCTGCCTGCAGCTCTTACACCATGAAAAACTAATGTACTATTAGACTGCCATTCGGTTCACAAGGCCACCTTTTTCCAGTGGTGAATGGAAAAGTTTGCTAGAAAATTTTGGAAAGGGTTTGAAGGTGGAAGCTGTATGCTTGTAGGGCCTGTTCTGGTCTTTGACTGAGATAGTCTTCCCTAGTTCTCCCCTGTCTTGACTATGCTGGAAGGTAAGAAATCTTGCTCCTCTATCCTGTAATAGCTTGCTGTTTCCTGTCAGAAGATTAACATGTTACCACTGCAGAGGAGAAATGCTAAGAACTGCATCATTTTTCATGGGGCTTTTGTTGAAGGATGCTTTTGGAGGTGAGAAGAAAAACTGATACCCGACACAACAGGCTTAGTGGATCTTTGCACTTCATTGCCTGTAAGACAAGTCATCAGTTAGCTTTTGGTTTGGGCCTGGAGGACTGATGAGTTGACTGGGTCACTGTATGTTTGGAAGGCAGCAGAATCCTACTTTATTGAAAAAACATTCTGTAAGAAACACTCTAAGAAGCAAGCTTACAACCTCAGTAGATCCTTCCCTATATAGTCATTCATCACTTATAGAGATAAGAACCAGTTTGAGAGGAAAAATATGTGTCTGGGGTGTCCATACAGAAAGGTTGAGTATGTCATTTTACATATGGACCTAGACACCCTCATCAGAATGGGGAGTAATCCCAATGTGACTGTTGCTTGTAAAGGGCCTTCTATATAAAGCAAAGGCAGTAAAAATGTTTTAGTAAAGCTGTCTTTTACATTAATGCAGGTGAGTCCCTTATGATAATCTAAACTGATATGTATATAGTACTCTGTAATACTACAAACAGGAGTTTGAAGGCATGTGGGAAGTGGATGTAGACAATGGACAGAGAAGCTGGGAAGTTGAACCAGAGAGGAAGGCATAACTCCATTTAGATCCTAGTTTTGCTAAAATATCACAAGGACTTGAGGGAGACTGTTAGGGTCCAGACTCTCAGCCATCCTTTTAATGGGGATGTTATGCCTACCCAGTTACCAAGACAAAGTGATCCTTATTTCAACCCCTCTTTTCTTTACCTTCTTGGCCCTTATGAAAAAGGACATTTAAAAACAATGTATACATACTTTTAGAAGAGATCCATTAAGCAAGCGCCAAGAACATCTTGACACTCGGTGGAGTCTCAGCCAGCATGACACGATGGCAATGGAATCTCTTCAGTACAGTTTACTTAGGCGCCTAAGTCTATAGTGCAGGGAGAGGCTCTTCCTTCCACACACAAGGGTTAACAGTGGGAAAGACTGTTCTCATAGCTAAATGAAAAGACCCACTAATAGTGGCAGGGCCAAGCAATTCTCGATCTTTTCACATTTATGAAAAAAGTTTAGAATATGTTTCATTACCTGTTTATCCACAACTAATCCAGTTTCTATCTCAGGACTTTGGTATGACAAATACATGAAATCTAATGAACTTCTTGTGTCAGACACACAGAGAGTAGAACACATGTGGAGTTAAACCACACCTCCACTCTCAGAAATAGAAGACCTGGGTGTGGATCCTGCTTGCTAGTTCCTGTCACAACAGCCGCACAAACACAAGTAAGGTTTTCTTTTTATGTTTTTCTTGTTTTTGAGACAGGGTCTTATATATAGGGAAGGATGAAATTGCAGCAATGATAGTACCATTATTATTGTAACAAAATAAAATAGGGGAACTGCTGGCTTTATTTTAATCCCTCTGCCTCCACGTTCTGAGATGACAGGTATGTGCTATTGCACCTGGCTTAGTCTTTTTTTTTTTTTTTCCCTGACCTAATGGATTTGGTTCAGTATGTTGTTTAGTTAATTAGAAATTTAATCTCATGAAAGAAACAGATTCACTATTAACTTTTGTAATGTGTTAGTCTAGCTAGTTTCTATGTGTTTTGCTAAAGGTGGCTGGCTATCTTTTAATAATTACATTTGACTGAACACTTGAAATATTGCACATGTGATAAGTGCTGTCCTTGAAGTTGTCACTAAAAGGATGTAATCCATGCAATCTTCATGATCTCTAAATGGTGCAGCTCCCAGGACTTGCCTTGTATTGTTGCTAGATGTCACTGGTTTTTGAAAGTCACTAGGTGGCTTAGCTTTTATTTAAGCATTTCTTTTCAAACCACCAGTGAGTCCAGCACAAAATTAAGTGCTTATTCTTTAAAAATCAAAGCACCAAGCCACTTAGACTGGAAAGACATCAAAGCATCCATCACACACACACACACACACACACACACACACACACACACACACACACACACACACCACCCACAAACATTTCTTTTCTGTAGCATTTTGAAGTGTCCTTCCTCATGTAGTCTCCACAGTAACAGTCCAAAAAAAGGAAGCGTTGTCTGTTTAAGCTGGGGAGTCCAGACAAGGGTTCTGATGTACCAGGGCTAAATACTCTCCATGTATACCTCTGTGTTGTTCTGAAGGCTGCTGATGGCCAGGGGTCATGCCTTTCATATGTGTCATCCCTTTGAGAACCCATCGTGGCTCCTCCAGCAGAAACATGCTCAAAAAATGAGACTTCTGTTTCTTGGCTTTGGTGGGGTTAAGTGGAAGTATGCAGGTCATCCCTGCTGACTTAGAGAGCTTTCTCAGACTGGTTCCCCCAAATAATTAAATAAAACAAAGCCAGGGTCACTGAGATGGATCAGCACAGGTAAAGCCTAGCAACATGAATTCAATCCAAGAACCCACATGGTGAGTAGAAAAACAGCTTCTTCAAGTTGACCTTTGACCTCTATATACAGTCCATGGCACATGTGTGCATACAAACACAGACACACACACACACAAACATGCACACATGTGTACTGACTTGTTTTGTATCAACCTGACACAATCTGAAGTCATCAGAGAGGAAGGAGCCTCAGTTGAGAAAATGCCTCTCTGAGATCCAGCTGTAAGGCATTTTCTCAATCAGTGATCAATGGGGAAGGGTCTTATCCATTGTGGGTGCTGTCATCCCTGGGCAGGTTGTCCTGGGTTCTATTAGAAAGGATGCTGAGCAAACCAGGGGAAGCAAGTGAATAAGCAGTGCCCCTCCATGGACTCTGCATCAGTTCCTGCCTCCAGGGTCCTGCCCTGTTTGAGTTCCTATCCTGACATCCTCATGGATTGACAATGATCTGGAGGTGTAAGCTAAATAATCCCTTTCCATTGCAGCTTGCTTTTTGATCATGGTGTT